TGTGACTTGTGTTTTGAGACTGTGTGGCTGCAGTTTTTTTCCCAGGCATATCAGGTTGTGAATAAACTGCTACAAGCACTGCAGCATCCCAGTGTAATAGCCAATATGTTTTGTATGTTATCTTTGCATAAGAAATCACTGACAATCAGATGGTATTCTTGTGCAAAACATGGCACATGAATAATTTGCCTGGCCTGCAGGGCATGCAAAGGAAATGCCTATAGATTTGAAAGTAGGAAGAGAAATGCAGCAAAATGCAGAAAAGCCAGAATGTCCCAGACTACTGCACACCATTACTAAGCAATCAGGCATTGTGTAGCAGCTCTTTTCCAAAGGGAAATGCAGTATACCTGGGTTGGAGGGAAGTAATGGGCCATCTTTTTGCCATCTTAAAGACTATGTTTTCTGTCGGTGTTGGCTGCCTAGCTCAGGCCAAGCTGTTTTACTATTCATGGATACTTTTTAACTAGGGTAGGAGATGTCTTAAACAAAGCAAAACAAACACTAGTGGAACATGATTATATTCCTGCTTGGAAAAACCTGGGCAACCATCCCTAGGGTAACAAGGAAAAGAGGTCATGGAACAAACACTGCAACCTACAACATGAACAAGAGGAGGGCTGAGGTATCTGAAGCATAGGAGATGTTGACAAGGAAAACAGAAGACTTTTGAAAGAACAGAGAAATTGTGTCAAGGAATTTCTGCTGGCTTTGTCATGGGTACCTCTCTGAAAAACCTAAAGCACTGCCGTAGGAAAGGCTCAGGGGGACACCTGCAGTGGCAAGGCACAGGCCTAAGGGAACTGATAAGTATTAAATACAGTTAAAGAAACGAGGTAGTGTTTCTCTAGTTGGAAGTGAAATGTTAATATCAAGACTCAAGTGGAAAGGCAGGCAAGTCACTTGTTTGTAGGTTTAAAAACCCAAGAGATTTAACAACTGTGGAACAAGGGCAAGGCTGTCTATCGAGACAGCAGCATGGAACTGAGAGTTGAAGGGGAGGTCTGAAACCTTTTTAGTTCATTCAGTTTTGTCTGTCTAAGATATTTCAGCAGCTGAACAGCCTGTAGAACAGCCTTGAGTGCAAATGTACAGAAGTCTTGTGATTTTTGTGGAAGCGTTCATGTGAATACATTCACTCATACACTTGATTGGGATGCATGCTTGAAATCATCATTCCTTCATTCAGTTAAAGCCTATTTTCTAAAGTGTTAGTAAATAACACACAGAAAACACAAAGAAAGTAAAATGGATGTATGAAGTTTGAGAGAAAGGGCACTTAAGCTACAGGCCAAGCTATAGTGTAAAGAGGCAGATTAATAATACGTGTGTGAATGGAGATGTAGAATGGAAATATGCCAGCAAAGACAGTTGAGAAATCACCTTGTACCTACAAAGATGATCTGTCTTTCTGCCCACAGTTAGTCCATTAACAGATCACAGCACACACAAGGAAGAGAAACAATTTCAAAAGAGTCCATGAATACTGAGCTGAAAGCAAGGAAGTGAATGTTAATGAGTAAAATGTATGAAAATATTAACTTTTGGCAATGTAGGCATCCCTTTTAGGCTGAATGGGAGGGGTGGGATTTTAAAACATAAGGAACTCCTTAAAACTGGTGCCAAGATAGAGTTTAATGAGAGCAACAGAGTGCTGAAAAATATTCCTGAGAGCATTGGTTGCTATATTCTTCTTTCACAAGTTTAGGGGAGAATTAAAAAGATATTTAGTAGAAATGATAAAGAAGATATCTGAAAATGTACCCACCTAAATCTGTCAGCAGTTACTTATTTTATTATTAGTTGGTCAAATAATGAAACCTTAGTGAAATGTTCCTCTCAGTTCTTACTATACTGGAAGTATTGACTGGGCAAAGAAAATTAAAATCAGAAATACTGACTTAAAGAAAAGCGTCTGCAGTCCCTGTCTGTAACAGGAGCTAAATATATGCAGACTGCACATATTTATTGTGTATGATGGTTGGAAAATATATTTTTCTGAGGAGGAAAATGTTACTAAGATCTGTAGAAGACTTGTAGAAGACATCATGCTTTCAATTTCATTCCTTTTGTCTGGGGTTAGGGATTCCTCATATTTTTCCTTCTCACTGGTAGCTACTAAATGTCATTTTTCTTAATTTTTCCATCCTAATGACAATGTCTATTGGTGTCATGGAAAAAGGGAAGTTTAAGAGGCAACATCGGACAAAACAAGAACACTATAGGTTATTCTTTCTAAATAGATCACAAAGTCATTAAGACTATATTTCTGTCATACATGTTTTGGAAAGCAGAAAAAGAAAAAACAGTCTTCCTCTTTTGAAGGACTTTGTCACTTTTCATATATATACATATGCAAATGATTTCCCAGATGTATGCATTTTTGCCTTCAGTGGTGTTGCCACTGTGTCTGACCCTGTGAGCCTGAGGAGAGGCTGCAAAATTCCCACCGAAGGACTGTAGCAGTCATTAGGAGTTGTAACATATTACATGTTGAAAAAGACTTTCTTTAAATACTTGTTTTTCTAACATATTTAAGTTAAGCTTTTATTTAAATATTTTAGAGTTCTTATGTATTTGCCTGTATCTTGTTAGTATTATCTTGATACTTCAAAACCTGTACCATTCATGTTTTATACGGCATTGCTCTGGTAAACCTCATTTGTGCACACATCCCCCACACTGCTATTGCAAAGGATTCTGTTGAGCCTCCACCAGCTAAAAAACATTTAGAGATTCTACTTTTTAGTTGTAATAGATTGTTTTGCTGTATGTTGTAGTCCTTAAGTGTTTTGTATGATTCACCCAAAAACTGCATTAGAAAAATTGGAAATCAGAGATCATTGTGGTGTCTAGAATCAATTAATTCTTAATTTTGTGAGTGCAGATGATGTTTATGGGCTTTGTGATTTAAATTTTCATCTTCTACCTCCAGAAGTGAAGATTAATAAAATTAATTTTAATTGGTGACTTTACCACAGTCTATGTAGAAAAACGTGAGCAAATGAAGGAAAAAGACATAGAATTTTTTTATTTTTCTAAACTTCAACTAAAATACACTGATCTTGCTATAACCAACCATTGCTAAATATAAACATTAATTTCATCAGTTTTTTTGTTTTCTAGCTCTAAAGAAACACATTAAAAAGTCATGCACTTCAACATCTGGTAGCCTGTGTTTTAATGTTTCAGAATATATTTCTGACATACAATCATAATAAAACTGCATCTTGTGTAACTGCTAGACATTTTGTGTCTTTACTGATATTGGATATACAGTATTGCACCCAATCTTATTATTTATCCCTGAAATATTATGGACTGAATTTCCTTTATATTTTTGTTCCTTTGGTTGCGTAAAAGAGCCTCAAAAATGGCTGCAGATTTGGCAGGGACTGTCATAGACATGGCAATCTTGTCGCATTCATAATGACTTACAGTGCCCAACATATGAATGATGAAAAACAGAAAAGTGTGGTTCATTGACTGTCATTTCCTATGCTTGTCTCTCCTCATGCAATGTGGCTGTGAAACATTTTCATACTGACAATATTATGTTCTGCATGCATTATGCAGTCATCTTCTGCATATGTAAATGGAGCAACAGGGTGTAAGATTCTTGAGTTTTCAATCCAATTAATTCAGGATGAAACTGTAAAATATAATAGGACCATAAAAGAAGTAGGAAGCTGTGACGAAGGCAAGGGTATACACGTATATAAAAAGTGTGTGCTTGTGTCTTACATGGTATTACCCAGTATGTACACACACGCACTTCTTGTTAACAAGCCCAGTCATGTTGGGGTGAAGAGGAGTTTAGACGCAGATAATTGTAGAAGTAAAATTAGAAATGACTAGAGTATGTGCTCAAATGCAGGCTTGGCATAGCACCATGTAATAAATTCATGAATGCTGTTCATAATAGCTTGTTGCAATTAGAGATTGGATTTAACTGTGATGAGTGACATGACCAGATGACATTAGGGGGAAATAAAAGCTGTTTTTTCAACACTCTTGTTTTCTGTCTTACTTCTTGCCTTTATATAGTCAATATTAAGTCAGAAGCTTCCACCTAATGGGAGATAAGACAGTATGCCTATTACCTATGAAATCTATATCTTGGATATAACCACGTGTTTGCTGTATTCAGCATATTTACGTGTAAGGGTCACCACTGTATACTCAGTTCTTCCTGTTGTATCTGTTGAGATCTGTGAATCTGTAGAGGCTCTTCTGCTTGAATAAACTGGTGTACCTCATGCAAAATTGTACATAACTGAGCCCAAACAACACATGTTTTTCTTTAATTTCCTGTTTGGGTTCAGTTGTGACTAAAGTTTTCTGCTTGTGCCAGTTACAGTTCAGTACGTGTAAATGGCATGCACTGTGTATATGTACCTTCAGCCTTACTGTATCTGTGGAACTTTCTGATATGGTCTTAGAACAGCATGAACTTCACTAGGTAGGAAACATTTAAGACCTCACACAAGTGTGAAATGAGTCTATTGACTCAGAGATTCCCATGAACATTTACCATTCAGTTTTCGTTAATATGCTGCAGAAACCTTTATATCTAAGGGTTAGGGCAGAAATCTTTACAGCAAGTCATCCTAAAAAAGGAGATTGGGAGAATAAGAGAAATATTCTGGCCTAGTAAGTTCTGTGTTGAGTTGGATAAATAGTAATAATAAAATTTTTGGTTTATTTTGTAAACTTAATAAATCTAAAACCAATGTATTAATATACAAAAGTAGATCACCTTTCAAATGCTAATGTAAACATAAAATTAATAGCAGCAAATTGTGTGATCATGATAAAACACATGTGATGCTTTAACATGCCCTTGTAATTAATGGAAGCCTGGTGTGCATCAGCAAGCCTTTAGAGCTAATAGATATCACTGGTAGCACGCTTTCTTTGAAGATGTTTTTGAGCATTTTTTAAAATGCTAGTTTAAAATCACCTCACTAACTTTTTTTTTTTTTTTTTTCTTAATACAGGTTAAATATAATTGGTGATGAAAATCAAAAATCTTCCATGTAATCATATTAAACAACCGATTAAAGAACTAGATGCTACTTCTAGGTATGATCTGGAGCCATAAGCAATGGACAGAGGTATTGTCTCAGAGGAAGCACATGGAGAAACTGTCCTTCTGTGGAAAGTTTCTCTATTCCTCCTTTTTCTACATTTGTGATAAGAATATAGTGATACGATTCCACCTTAAAATGGTCAATATTCTCAATACATATTTTTTCAGCTCAAAAGGATGCTTGCATGTATGGTGGGTTGCCTGGGGCAGAGCAACGGTTCCATGCACTTGTCAGTGGAAGGGGTTCAGAAATTCTGAGCAGAATGTTTCTTAGTGAGAAAATGTCAATTAATTCAGTTGTAAATGTTCTGTGGGAAAGTGTCGGTATTGACTATACTTTGTTTGTTTGTTTTGCTTTCAATCAAAGCAAAGCTTTTTGATAATAACTTTTTTATAATCTTGTCATGACAGAATATTTGAATATTTCAGTTTGGAAAAACATTTCCTTTAGGACTGTGTCTGATATTGTAAGTTAGGCCAAAAAATGCCAGACTTAAAACTTTTCATCCAACTTGACCTAAAGTGGATTAAAAAATGTCCTAGAGGAAACACTTTGCCTCATTTTAGAAGGGGAGAAATATTAAAACATCAGAATTTAGAAGAAAACAAAAATTCAACTTTCTGAGAAATATCTGACTCCACCAATGTTCATTTTGAAATGACAGTTTTGAAGTTTTCAAAACTACTTAATCATGTACTTAAACTATTGAAAATTGCTAAAATTCTTATTTTTCACCCATCTCCATTTTGAAAGATTCAAAAAATAGTCTTTTATTTATTAAGATACTGAATAATGTTTTCCAAATGTCCCAAACAATATTTTATTTCAAAGCTGCTGTTTTAGCTTTTATCACAGAATGACAGTACGGCAGAGGCTGGCAGGGCCCTCTGGAGTCCACCTGGTCCCATCCCTGCTCCAGGAGGGACACCCAGAGCAGGCCACCCAGGGCCACATCCAGGCGGTTTTTGGAGATCTCCGAGGAGATCCCCACAGCCTCTTGGGGCAGCCTGTGCCAGTGCTCTGTCACCAGCTCAGTACATAAGTGCTCCCTGGTGTTCAGATGGAGCCTCTTGTGCTCCAGTTTGTGCCCACTGCTTCTGCTCCTGGCACTAAAAAGAACCCGCCTCCATCTTTTTTGCATCCTCCTTTGTGCATATCTTATGTTTTTGCTGCCTTCTCTCTCTTCCTCCATCTTTTATTTCCTTTTTTTTTTTTATTTTGCTTTGTTTTGATTTTCCTTTTTGGCACTGGAAATGGACAAGGGAAAAAGCAGAGGAAGATGCTGGCAATAAAGTGATAATTTAAACTGGTTGAGAAAGAAATAGCAAAAATAATAAAGCTGGATGAATGGGCTGATATAAACTTAGTGAAGTTCATAAGGGTAAATATCAAGTCCTACACCTGCAAAACAAGGACCCTGTGCAAGAGCACAAAGCTGGAGAAAGAGCTGGAGGGGTGAACCTCTTTGGAAAGGCCCTGGGGAGGCTAGTGGGCAGCAGGCTGGACATTAGGCATCAATTTGTCCTGGCAGCAAAGAAGGCCAGCAGCATCCCAAGTTGTGGTAACAGAACTACAATCAGGAAGTGAATATTCCCCTCTAATCAGCCCTTGTTAGAAGACCACATTTGGGTACTGTGTTCAAATTTTGTCCTCCTGATAAATGAAAAGTATCATAAATGAAAAACATAAATTAGAGCATATTCAGTAGCAGTTTAGCAGAAAGCCATAAAGATGGTCAATTTTGGGCCTCCCCATGTGTAAAAGGCATCGATAAACTGGAGCGAGTTTAATGGAAGGCCACCAAATTGGTCAAAGAGCTGAAGCACTTACCTTGGAGGTTTTTGAGACCTGGCTAGATAAAGCCCTAAGTAATTTCATCTGACCTCATAAATGATCCTGTTTTAAGAAGGATTTTGTACTAGATGGCCTCCTGGGGTTCCTTCCTGCCTGTTTTATGATCCTGTGATGCAGTGATACACACCTTGACTTTAGGGTTATTCCAACTTCCTCCACAGGTCACAAATGTGTATGTGGAACATATAGGAAGGAAAGGAAAAGCTTGGAGCAGATGTTCATTTCCACATAGGCCATTTTATAACTTAGTAATGTGTTCCATCATCTGTCCTAGAGTCATCAATGATTTTGCTGAAATCTGTACAGTTTTTGCTCTCTGTGTCCCCTCCACTTGTCAGACACAGATCAAGTGTAGTTTTAACATGTTCTTGGCAGAAGCACAATTTGTAGATATTGTGCCTGTGTTAATCCTTCATTTCTTCAGTGATATTAGCATGTGCCTTTGAGTTACAAGCTGGACCTGTAGGCTTGATTGTTGTATTTTCCCTTGAAGCTGTGCTTGCAGCAAAGTTCTTTTGCTACAACACATACCATCTTGCCTGGTGTCTAAACAGTTAGGTTATGATCATTCAACAAAGCTATCATTTGTCTCGTTCTGTGATTGACAACAAGTTAGCAGACTCAATTTAGTATGTCCATAACGACTTTCTGTCCTTACTTGGAAGTTATGAGATTATATTCAAGTCCACCAGCTGGCTCGTGTTCCACTTGTTCACCATTACCCTAAGGTCTTTCTCTACAGAGCTGCTTTCCAGATGGTCAGCCCTCCTTGTGTACTGGTACATGGGGTTATTCCTCCCCATGGGCAGAACTTTGCACTTCCCTTTGTTGAACTTCATGAGATTCCTATTCACACAGTTATTCACCTTGTTGAAGTTCACTCTTCCTAATTTTGTATGACCTTTGAACTTGCTGAGGGCTCACTCTACTATCTTCTAGGTCCTTAATGAAAAGGTTACACAATATTGCCCTAGTATTGACCTCCAGGGCACAGCACTAGTGACTTGTCTCCATCCAGTCTTTGTGCCATTGATCACAACACTCTGAGCTTGGTTGTTCAGCCTGTTTCAATCCACCTCACTGTCCACTTATTTAACCCATACTGTATCAGCTTCTATATGAGTTTGTTAATGAGACTGCCTCAAAAGCCTTAATGAATTTGAGGTAACATCCATTACTCTTCCCATTATCTGATAAGGTAGTCACCTCTTTATAGGATGCCATCTGGTTGGTTAAGCATGGATTCCACTAGGTAAAACCACTCAGGCTACTTCTGATCACCTTCTTGTCCTCCATGTGTTTGGAAATGGTCTCCAGGATTAGTTGCTCCAGCACTTTTGCAGGGACTGATGTGAAGCTGACTGGCCTGTCAGTCAGATCTTCCTTAATGCACTTCTTGAAATGATACTTGATCTTTTTCTTTACCCTGCTCCTCTTTCTGAGGTACTTCTAGAGCCTATTTCACTTCTTTAGCAGACAAGAGCAAGAGAGAGAGATGTAGGGCTTCTTCTGTTCATCTTTAAAAAACAGTGAGAGTTACCCCTGCTTTGGTGGCAGAGGTAAATTACAATTCTGGAAGCACTTTCTTGCCCCTTCTGATCATGACTATGTCTCTGGCTGGGTCTGCCAGGAGATGGAACATTTTAGAAACAGACTGATAAGGGAATCAGCTGTGAGAGAGTTTGGATATGTGAGCTATTAAAATAAACTGCCTCAAACAGCCTGCTGGATCCAGATAAAGAATATGCTGGATCTGTAGCCTTTCATGACCCAACCTATAGATTCTCCTGGATTCTTTTCCTGGTTAGACTTTAAGAACTACATCACTAAAAAACTGACTTTAATTAAATCCAACAGTGTAACTTCTGTCAGGACTTCAGTGGCATATGTAGCCCCCAGACAACAAGGGTATTTTATTTCTGATAGTCAGATAATAGAGAGTTTGTTGCTTCATTTAATACTCTAACCTGTATGTTGGATCTCAACTCATGTCAGTAATTTGGCAAATAATGAAATCTTTCTGTCTTTCTGTCAATGGCAGAAAACAATACGAACCACCTTGAAGCTGTAAAATAATCATGCTCACGTGGGAACATGTAAAAATGCAGAACCAGAACATGAAAGAAATATCTGGATACAATGGGACAGATAAAAGAAGGACATCAAAGACCACCAATGTGTACCAGTGAGATATAATTTGATGGCAATTTTTATTTACGTGCTTGTGGGAAGATTAAGAAAGAAGAAAATGAGTTGCAAATAGAATTGTCTTCTTCTAGAGACCACCAGGCTAGATCAGAATAATAAAATATCCTGGATCAACTCATCTAGTACTCAAAACCACATAGTTCTTTACCCATGAGGAAATCCTAACTATGCAGACATCTGCTGGGTAACAAACACTCAAACTTGGTTCATTTAAGTGCAGTTCTACTGTTTAAAGTGAACATGTGAGAATGACATCTAGGACCTCCATGCTTGTTGATTCTCAAAGATCATTCTATCAGACTTCTTCTCACTAATTAAAAGATGTTTCTTTAGCATTACCTCACAAACATAACCTCATTTCCTCAAGGTAATGTGAGTTTTCTGCTATCAGGCATCTCCATGATACTTCTCTTCTCCTGATACCTTTGCAGCCTGAACTGTAGACAACTCTATGGGATTAGAAAGCAGAAAACATAGCCATTGATGAGGCAGATGGGGAAGAAGAAACAAGTTCTCACTCTGGGGCTAATTTTTTCTGTACCCTTAGCAACTCTGATCAATGAGAAGCATGGAGGAGACCTGGCTGAAGGAGCCCCTTTGCCATTCAACTGTCTTCATTGTCCCTGTGAACACCTGTCCTCTTCAGGAGAGGGAGGCTGATTTCTTGTCCTTTTCTTCTAGAACTCAGTCTGAGCCTAACAGAAAGTGTGAAAAGCCATCAAGAAAAATGGATTTGTGTAGAGCAGTTATACAGTTTGAGGAAGGGAGAAGGTGGATAATAAAAAAAACTTAATTCTAAATTACAGACCCGAAGTAGATCTTAAGTAGAAGTTGCTCAGGAGGTGCTCAGGGGTGGGCCACAAAGAAACCTCAATGTTGACATATGACGAGTGAAATGAACTAAAATATGCTTACTCCTGAGTTGTAATGTGCACTCTGCTCATTACTGTAATCAGCAGGTTGGACCCTCTGTCTGATAAAGATAGGTAGAAGGCTGAAAAATACAAGTTGGAAATAACAAGAAGAGATTCAGCACGGAGAAACTCATAACAAAGTTGTCTGCTAAAATAGAGCAAATTTGAAGGGATAATGAAAGTAACTCCTAAACCAGAGTACTCCTATTTTAGGGTGGAACAAGGGCACTTTCTAGAAATACAGATCACTCTAGTAAGCATTGCAGCTGCTACTACTCTATAGAAAATTAACAAGTATAAAAGTACTAGAATCTGTCCTCAAACTTGGACTGGAAGTAGCTTTAGTGTCCAAGTAAATAGTTGTCCTCTCTAATTGAATGATACACTCAGCCTCAATAGTGTACCTATATCAGACTTCTTAATCTCTTAAAGAGTGTTTTCTGTAGTTCTGTTCCCATGGAGTAATTCCAGCAGTGTTTTCTGTTGGAATTAATGTTACAGTCACTGAGAATGGCTTCAGGAAACATGGGTCCCCAGAGCCCTGTCCCACGGCTACTGTGGGTGCATAATGTTATGAACACATGCCCTGTATTTATAATCCTCTGAAGAATAGTCAGCTAATCTGAATTCAAAAGATTATTTGTACTTTGTGTACTTCTTGGCCCCTGGTATGTATGTTCAGTTTTTGCTTCCATCAGTCAAAATAGGTATACAAGACACGTATTTTAAAAATAATAAAAAAATATAAAAAAAAGATGTTTGTGAAATCCTTGCTTAACATTCCAGATTGCATTTTTGATATATAAAATTGTATGAATTTTGTAAAATCCAAGAGCAACTCTTAAATATTTTAAAATATGGTTAGACTATATTGCTCCTCAAAGAGGAGCGTTTCTGATAGGCTTTATTCTAGCAGTCTCCTTTATTCCAGAAGGCAGACATTCCCTGGGTCATTATTGAAAGAGATACAAGAACCCAAATTTTCAATGTAGGAATTTAGGAGTAAGTCGAAGTAAGTAAGCTTGTCCTTATACATTTGTAAAATATCAAAGATGCTCTGCATCATCTGTTTTACAGGTTATGACAAGACCATTTTACATCTGTTGACACATTTCTGAAATGGTTTTAATAGAACATTTGTGGATATTACTATCAATAAAATCTAATTTAACAACATAATCTTGTCCTACAAAGGTAAGTAAACGTACTGTATTGTTCTATTTCTCAAAGTTCCACAACAGGAGAATTCTAAGCCCTATTAACACTCTACTAAAAAGAAAGAAAAAAAAAGTACTTCCTTCCTTCCTTGTGAATTATGAAACTGTCTTCAGCTATATTGTGTTCCCATTCTTTGGTGTTCCCTTGTTTTTTACACATGATGGACTGTGCTCTCATGGTGTAGAAGGCTTTCACAGCCAAGGAGACTGCTGTCTGTAGGCTTCCTTTATTCATTGCAGAAATTGGAAGATCTGTGAGAAACGAGCCAGAAGACTGTGGGATTGTGAAAAACAAAAGTTCTTCTAAGAGATTTGGATGTTATTCAGATAATCAGATTCTATTTGTTGGAGACATGGCAGAATTCCCTAAACTTAGTGCTTTATAAATGACCACTTAAAAGGTGCTCTTAATTTTCTGCTACCACTTTCCTCTCTTGTTTGGGACGGAATCAACAGGACTCTAGTGCTGGATACATAGTGTTGTATACATCACCAAGAGCTCCTAAAATCCAACTATTCAAATTTAATGAATATCTTTGTCTTTAATTGCCCTTTGTTTCTGCTATCCCACTGTAAATTAGGGATAGTCAACCCTGTCTCTTCACAGCAGTGTTACAAAGATCAATTAGTTGACATTTTCAAATATTCTTTTACTCAGAAGCTATAGTGATGAGTACCATTAGAGAACTTATAGAATCATAGAACTGTTTGGGTTGGAAGGGACCTTAAAGATCATCTAGTTCCAACACCCTTCCATAATCAGGGATACCTTCCCTTAGGTCAGGAATGGGAAATTTATTTCAAGACATCAAAGAGTTTCTCACTAACTGACCAATTGAATGCCTGCTGGTTGAGCTCCAAATGGAGGTAGAAATCCTGTAAAAAAATAGTACAAAATTAGTTAATTTATGTGCTCAGTGTTATATAAAAGTACAATGGAACTTGCTTAGTGTTACACAGAGAACTATAATTCTGACATTTCTTAACTCTTAAAAAATTTAATTTACAAATTTATTACTGTCTTAATGCAGATTTTTGATGTTTTATAGCACAACACAGACATTTTCATAAAGCTTTATGTGCAGGAATTTGTACTGTATTATATGTAGTAACTGGCTTTTTTTTTTTTTTTTTTAGCCTTGAATGTACTCGCTGACAATGACAACTAAAGCTGCCATTTTCTCTTGGTCCCATCTTGAAATGCTGTGTGACCATTTCACTCCTAGGAAAATGCACTCATTGTGTATCACCATCAATGTCTTCAAGACATACATAAAGTAACATTGGTATTAGGTTTCGCCAATATGCATGCAAAATATCATTTCCATAAATTTTAGCATGGATAGAAGTTTGTAAGAAAATTTCTTTTAAGAAAGAATGTAAAACAATTTACAATTCAAAGATCTAATGTGTTAAAGTGAGGAAATAGAAAAGAGAACTGAAATGATTTCATGAAAAAAATATGTTTTACTTTCAGCTTTCTTCTGCTCACCTGACATGCAGTATCATATCCTCCAAAGAGAATTGAGATTCTAAATATCTCTTATACCATCTTTGTTCTTCAGGTACAGCTCTCTTTATGATTCCCGTTCAGCAGAGTGCTCAGGACACAGTAACTTTTACTAAGCAAGGAAACCAGTTGACTTTAATGTGGTCACTCATTGATGGAAAATCAAATATGTGCCAAAACACTGTGCTTTGGCCCACTTAGGCTAACACATGCACACCGTACTTCATTAATATACAAAATTTCAGTTAAATATAAATTGAAACAGCTACTGCATGTTGTACATTCTGATAAGAAGAAGAAAAATTGCCACCTCTGAAAGTAAAATACAGAATGTTGGAAGAAAACCAAATGAATATTCTATTTGTGATAAATCCCATCCCTCAGGGAGACTTAGTGTTGGACCTTTGCCTCTGAAAAGAAGTGATATATTGAGCTAAAGCTGAATCTGCTTTTTAAGAACAACATTGATTCCACTCCCATCCATTCTCAAGAGTTTGATTTCAGCCTGCAGGAATACACCACACTTCAAATCCAATACAGCAGTTTTTCCAGCGATGTGTTTTTCGTATGATTATCTTATACACCGCGAAGCAGATGCAGAAGTTGAGACATGCTATTGTGACCAAAAAACAAAACAACAACAAAACAAACAAAACAACAACAAAACAAACAAACAAACAAAAACATACAGGTTTCAGTTGCACACTAGGTGAAAGTCCTAGCATAAAGAAAATGGACTTGAAATTGTCCATGCTGCCATTATGCTGCTGGGGCACAAAGATAGCTAGATCTCTTACACTTGCATCCTGTATTACTTATGGTGTGACCCGAGCTGTAAAGACCATAACATCCTCTCTTTCAGTGTTGTTTTATGGAGATATGCTTTAGCTTAGATCTGTTTTTATGTTCCATCAACTGGCTTCCCTTTCAGGATTTTGTATAAAACTCTACCAGAGTATTTTTTTATGGATAACATTAAAGGTAACAAATAGCTGAACTCTGGCAAATCTTAAAACTGTATAGAAATACAGACCATTCAGTATCATCATTAGTCTAAGGCATTTTCTTTCAAGGACTATATACATGTGGTGGATTTCTATACTTTTTACAATGTTCTAGCACTGCATCTTCTGACATACCACCAGAGCCTTCATCCTGTTAGATCTTCCTTCAGCTGTAAGGTATTTACCTGCAATCTTTTTTACTGACTCTTACGTATGCTGAGATGTGATGTGTTACATGCCTCTTCCTGAGAAAATAATTTATTTATTTAGTTTTAGATGTGGATTTGCTTAGCAGGTCTTGAAAGTGTTCACCCGTTGCTTTCTTTATTTTTATTTTATTTTATTATTTTTTTCTTTTGAAGAATCTTTCCTTGCTTACCCTAAGCTAGCCCTAAACTTTCCTGCTGAGATCTTACTAAACTGATAAAGGTTTGCTATTTCTCTACCAGTAACCACTTCAGTGTCTTCAATGTCTTAAAAAGTGCTATATACATTTTTCCCTTTGCTTCTTCTCATGCCGGTTTTCACTGCTCACTGTCTTTTGTTATGCACAGAACTTAGTCTCTTCCTGACTTTCTGGAGGTGTTTTAGAGAAAGTGATTTTTACTTGGTGTATTTTCCATCACTGAGTTCTGCTTGTTCTTGCTTATTCAGATTTCTAGATGACTTGTGTTAAAAGATGTTTAGATGTAGAGCTTAGGGATATGGTTTAGTGGAGGACTGGTTAGTGTTAGGTCAGAGGTTGGACTCGGTGATCTTGGAGGTCTCTTCCAACCTAGGTGATTCTGTGATTCTGTGATTCTGTGAAAACGTTCTACATGAAAAAAAGTTCATGATATAGAAAGAATGTTTTGTGGAGGATCTAAATTTTAGCACTTGAACACCTTTCTTGAGGCCAGTTTAGATTTTCCATTCATATGTCTTACCTAGTACCCTTGTACTGGCCTTTGAGGATTTTTTCTTGAGTTTGATATTGATTATTGTCAGTGTCTGCAGGCCTGAACAACATGCAAGTGAGTGGACATACAAGCAACCATAAACTCAGAATCTGCAATAACATGCAAAATATCTGACTTCAAATTGTAGTGGAGGCTGATCAGCTAGTAGCATAATTTTGGCACATTACTGTATTATTGCAGACACAGTTTGGCAGCTGCATCCAAATGTGTTTATGAAGTGTGTTTCCATTTTTAATACTTTCTGAGGGCTGTGTTTTAAAGGACAGTATTTAGAAGGGACAGCATTTATTACCATGTTTATTGAGTTTTATGACTTCCTGCCCTGCCCTGTCCTTTTTTTGTGTGTGAGAAAAGGAGCTGATTTCAACAAAATCTAAGAAGGTGAAGGTATAATTTTGCTTCATGAAAGCCCCATAGCACATTAGTGTGGCTTAGCTCTACATGTGTTTTCTCAGCTAAAGTGCTTTACATTTCCAAGGAATAATTTTCTACTACTCCTTTTGTTTTTGAGAAGAGACTTGTCAGCGTATAATTTTCCTGGCTTTTTATGTTCCACATTTTCACATTTTTTCCCCAGCTTAAAAGCCCTGCTTTACTCCAGTGTTCTACTTTCTGCTACAGTAGCTGTTTTAACAGTATTGTTACTTTGCTATTTAATTCTGTCAGTTTTTTTTTTCTTGGTGAATTGATAGTTTCTTGTCACATATTTAATTGCAGGATAATTCTAAAGATCTTTTCCTACCACTTTTTGCTGTCCCCTTTCTTTTCTCTGTTAGTTGCATTGTAATATGAAGTACACAGGCAAAAAACATGAAGTTCATCATGTAGTTGGAAAATACTCTTGACACATCTTGGCCCATTTATGACCACTGGACTGTTGCCATTTACTTTGAGGATGGTGTGGACAATGCCTTGAGGGTAATGGTCCTCTCTCATCAGCATGAGTATACCTTCAAGACAAAAGATTAACATTTGATGTGTGTGTTTTCTTAGGGTTTCAAATAGCAATGATTAAGAAACAGGCTCTAAATGTATACATTTCACTGTACTGCATGTTCTCCAAACTCTGGTTGTTGTGAACTAAGAGTGAGTTTTTAGAGTTTGGCTGGCTTTCAGTAAATTCCCATTTATCTAAGCCCATGAGCAGATAGTTTTGTTGATGGTGAGCTGCAAAGCCATCCAAGGGCAGCTGAGGCCTGCAAGGGAAAACATTCTTCTATATATTCTAGGATGAGATCAGTCAAAGCCTAAAAGAGATTCACAAAAGCCATAGTTTTCAAAAGAGACATCAGTTTTCAGAAAGAGCTTGGTATATATTGCCTTGCATGACTAAACTTGCCAGTATTTTAAGAGAACCTAATCCTTTAAGTGTGGAGTAAAAGCTGTTGGTTGGCTGTGCGTACTGTTAATTAAATAAAAAAAAAAAATAGATTTTGTAATAAACATTTTAGAGTTAATTCACACGTATAAAATGATTATATTGGCATAATAGGGGGACACAATATGCAGAGGCAGTGAATAATAATAGCTCCCTCAGTATCTGTAGGGCCACAGAATTTTTTTTACTATAGTCTGGAACAATGTGTGAGAAGTTTTAATTATGCATCAAATTCTAATTTTATAACCATAGAACTGCCTAAAAATATTTCTACTGTTATTCACGACAAATATATGATTCTATTTTTTTTGTGGAAATGGTGTGACTGTAGAAGGTACAGTAGTTTTTCTACTAACAGAATATAGTAAGTGGGGCATCACTCATTTGCTCCTTACAACTCTTCACTGGCACTTAAAAGTTCAGCTTTTATTCAGTGTATCCAATCTTTCTCTTTGTTTTTTATTTGTTTCAATTCTAGTATTACAAACTTTTTGGACCATACTTTTAAAAATGATTTGCAGCACATCTAGTAAAGTATTAGTCTTGGTTTTAGAATAATGGCTGGCTTAAGAGTAATTTAGAGGACATAAATAAAAATGATAAATGAGTATGTTCTGCTTTTCAAAGAGTCAAGTGTCCTGCTTATTTTCTGCTACAGGAAGTTATCCTTCATAGATATTTCACATTTGCCTTAAAGCTCATTTCATTATCTAAAAATAAAATAGCTAACTATATTAAGAATTATTTTATGCATGTTGTGACTCAAAAAAATCCAGTTTATAACACTTTTTCATGAATATTAGAAAGGATCTTCTGTGCCCTCTTTGGCGAAGTAAGATCTTTCAGCTGGAATTTAATCATTCAAACAAACAAACAAGCAAAAGCTTTATTTGGGGGGAGTTAGCAAGTTGCTCCATGATACAGTCATAAAAATGTACTCTCAAACAACCCTGCAGAAAAATATAATTATGCTCATAAACAGAGTCATTAGAGATGAATGAGAAAGGAGTGGACAGAATGTGTTGCTTGGTAAATTTAGCTCTGCCTCTGTCTGCCACTTGTTTGTGAGCTGCTTTGGTCTCCCTTGAATCTATTTGTTACTCTAAATTAGTCTCCAGTCATGGTGGCAGCTCTTGTGTGTTCCCACGGCCCTGGGAGCTATGCCAAACACGTTCTGCTACAAGCAGAACCTCCTGGAATGGGCAGGCTAGAGAGGATGTGTTGGAGTCTGGATCTGGTCTTCTAGCTTGGTGAGTGGGCAAAGGCTGAAATTCTTCTCCTTTTGATATAAAGCCAATAAGATAAACAATAAAACAGATAAATTACCTAGGTATGGAAAATTGAATAAGAGCTGAGAACATAGAACATCTGGATCTCATTGAAGGCCAAATCCCAGACAAATAGGGTGAAGCAAAAAAGAGGTATCTCAAAAGCACATCTTAATCTCAGAAGAATGGAAAAGAAATTAAACCTCTGTGAAAAAGAATCTATTGGTGCAGTCAGCTGTCTTTGAAGTCAGCTGCTGAGCAAACTTAGTATCAGTGTATGTGCTCTCACTGAAGCAGCAAATTGATTCTAGAAAGAACTCAAGGAACTTATAGTGGACTCTAATGTTGACATTAAAATTATATCGACACTGAAGTATTAAAGTGGGAAAATGAGAAGGAACTATATTTGTGACAGCTGCTTACAGTGGAATCACATTAATCTGATTTGCAGATCTGAAGACTGCCTTATTGTACCTCACAATTGCATTTGCAAGAACACTACCATTCAGTGATGGACTTCTTATCTACGCGATCAACCACAAACTTAATACAACAGACTTAATTCAGACTTAGAGAAGTTACTTGTGATACAGGCTGCTATTGTGAAAGAGAGAAAACTGCTCCTTTAAAGAACTGAAAATAAGAAATGAGGCACAGCTAGAGCAGAGGATCCAAAGAATAGACCAGAATCACGTAACGATGTTAGTCACCAAGAGCTGGCTTTAGAAGACCACTGACTGATGTGTACAGAGAGTGTTGATACTGAAGCTTTGTTACAAAGCATTCAGTCATATAAAGAATGAACTGTTTTAATGAGTATCTCAGTGGTGAAGTGGATAAAGACAAAGATTCAGAGCCATTTTCCAGGCTGCTGATCAACTTGTGGAAGCATCATTTTTATTATTTTTTAAGGAGTGTAAGGAAGTGGTTAGAGCTAGAAGGAACAACAAAGTTTCTGAAGAATTATTAAAACAAAGAAACCTACAAGTTAAATCAAAGACTTTAAAAATTATTTTTTACATCAGGAATTTTGAAAAATAAATCAAAGTAAATGGGAAGTGGGTGTCAAATCCTCATTTTTTAATATGAGAATAATCAAATAAAAAAAAACTACTGCAGGAATTTCTCACTTCATAAGGTCCCATCTAATAGTTTTACGTAAGCTAAAGAGCTACACAGAGGAGTTGGTATGAGACCTCCAAGATCATCTGTTCCAACCATACCCATAATTACAATATCACCCACTAAACCATGTCCCTAAGCATCACGTCCAACCTTTCCTTAAACACCCCCAGGGATGGTGACCCCACCACTTCCCTGAGCAACCAATGCCTGACTACTCTTTCTGAGAAGAAATGTCTCCTAATTTCCAACCTGAATCTCCCCTGGCACAACTTGAGGCCATTTCCTCTAGTCCTATTACTAGTTATCTGTGAGAAGAGGTTGACCCCCAGCTCCCCACACCTTCCCTTCAGGCAGTTATTAGAGCAATAAGGTCTCCCCTGAGCCACCTCTTGTCCAGACTAAACTGCCCCAGTTCCCTCAGCCACTCCTCACAGGACTTGTGTTCCAGGCCCTTCACCAGCTTCATAGCGCTTCTCTGGACATGCTCCAGGGCCTTGATGTCCTTCTTGTACAGAGAGGCCCAACGCTGAACACAGTACTTGAGGTGCGGCACAGAGCTGAGCACAGGGGGATGATTGCCTGCCTGGTCCTGTTGGCTACACTATTCCTGATACAAGCCAGGATGCTGTTGGCCTTCTTGGACACCTGGGCACACTGCTGGCTCATGTTCAGGTGAACATTGACCAACACCCCAGGTCCTTTTCCTCTGAACAGCTTTCCAGCCACTCTGCCCCAAGCCTGTAGCACTGCATGGGGTTATGCGACCAAAGTGCAGGACCCGGCACTTAGCCATGTTGAACCTCAGCCCACTGGCTTCTGTCCATTGACCCATCCTGTCCAGGTCCCTCTGCAGGGCCTTCCTACCCTCCAGCAGATCAACACCTTCCCCCAACTTGGTGTCATGTGCAAACTTACCAAGGGTGCACTCAAATATATGAGGAATTACAGAAAAGCAGGTCTGTTTTGGCTTAGATATTCTCATCTTGGCAGGTGCTTGGTAAAAAAAGTGGGAATATAACAAGAATATACAGTTTTACAAGATATGTAAGACTATAGCTCAAGATAATAGTGTGGCCACAGGGAACAATTTTGGATTCCCAAGAAAAGTGTTCAAATTTGTTTTTTGTAGATTGCAATGAGGGAATAAATTCTCTACCTGATTTGATAGGAAGTGATACTAAGGCAGGAAGGTCCTTGCTAATTTTTAAAACAGGAATGGAAAAAATACCATGATAATTGCAAAATTCTTTCAATAGTGCAGATATCCCACACTGATTTTTAATTCATGCTGATATATGTTAATAGTCAATTTACCATGAATTATTCAGAAAACATGATATAAAGGATGGCTGACAACTATGGTTGAAGTGGCAAGAAAAAAAAGTGTAGAACAATTAAAAGATGCTGTGCAAGTTTAGTTAGCAGTAAATAATCAGATATGACCAACACATCACTAAGTGTAATACTTGGTAACATTTCTTGCTCATAAAGCCATGTGGATGATTTAAGCTAAGACATGGTACAGGAGCAGGATTGTCTGTTTCTCTAGTGAAAATATTTAGCCACTAACAACTACTGAAGAGCAGCAATATTGCATGTCTGTAGCTTGGTCTAAGGCCTTTTTTTATGGTAAGGTATGATGAGCACAGCAAGTAAGAATGAGGAACACCTGGTGTTGAGATGTACTGTTTTTAATGAGAAGAATCTGACTTATGCAGAGAAAAATCTGATAAAGATTTCTGGGAGGTCAGTGATGATCAAGATCTGCCAATGCAGTGATTCCTGAGCACTTCAGTGAGCTGAAGTGCTGTTATACTAGAATAAAGACTAATCAAACATCACTTGGTAGACTCTGCATGATTTTTAAATGTGTGCCTGATCACAGTGAAGCATGACACAGAGTAAACTAATCCTGAGAAGTTCTGCTGTAAAAGACTATCAGCAGGAACAATATGACCAGTGATCCAGTGGGGCAAGTTGTTAGAGCAGTCCAGGACCTCTAGCATCTTTACTGCTCTAGTTTCAGTCCTGTTTATTACTCTTTATAGGTATTTGATATGCTGAATATAATAACATTTCTGTTTCTACATGTAAACCCAGATGCAAACTTAATGGAGGAAGACCACAGTGATTATATCCAGCTAAGGAAAAATCTGAGAGCAATGCTTCTAATACGAATTACTGTGGGTATGACTAGTACCTGTACACTAAAACTGCTCTTTGGTTTTAATTCTGAATTTACAATTTTGCAAAGCAATTCCTATAGCACACTCGTGATGAATAGATGTGAAAAACAGGCTCAGAAAGGTCATACAAGCTAAAGTGAATTGAGTTTTCTGTCTTGACTGTTTGCAGCACTGTTGTACTTCTGTTGCTCTAAATTATTTGTTATTTAATTTCCTCTTGTTTTGAGTATTTAACTTCACTTACTCAATATGGAGGTCAGAACTTCTTAATAAATCAAATTACTTTGTGAATGGTTGGCATCTAGAGAATATACTCTATATTTTTACGTAAAGCCTCTTTTGAAATAGCTGTAGTTGTTGCATTTGTGACAATAGTCAGTGTCTGAATGTGACTTTTTTTTTTTTGCTATGACCGTTGCAAACAAACAGAAACAAGATCTTTTAAAATTACTTTTCCATAAATTACTTTTACAAATTAAAAAACATCTAATGGATTTGTACCAATTCCGGCTGCTTAGCTGAACCAAGCAAACCATCAGATTTCTGAATTACAAAAACCAACAACAACAACAACAAAAAAAGGTTAGTGGACTGTAAAAACATAGTGCTTATTTGAGGGAGGAGATTCAGGGGAAGAAAAAAAAAAAAACACAAAATAAAACCAACACTCACATGGCTTGGAACAGGGGATGAAGAGTGGCAAAGAATGTTTTCTGTAGACTAAGAGGACATCTACTTGCTGAGGACAGTGGAGTGTGGATACAGTTCTTAGATATAAGCTACATGAAAGCAACAGAAACCAGTGAATTTATACATGAAACAAAGAAGGACTTTGAGCCATTTAAAAGGCTCCTTTATACCCTCTCTGCTTTACCTGGTTTAGTACAATAGCAAGCAGTATATGTATTTATATACTTAAACAGCTATTTTCCAAGGATGTATTTCTTAATTTGTTTTGATGTCATAAAACACTGCCTGAAATTAGTAGTCCATATATTTTTAACTGAAAAGAAAGAAAAAATCTGAAAGTACATTTATTTGACTTTGTATATATTCCTACATTTATATAACAATTCCAGTCTGTATCTTCCCTAGTGGTATATTTTTATACACATGGTATTAGTACACTTGTGTGAGTATTTTCTTAAAGATTCATTGACATTTAAAATTCTATTCCCTGTGGCTAACCCCTATGTTGTGGATAAAATAAGCAATGCATCAGTTACCAGACATGTTGAGTATCTGAAATTCATGGGATTTGGAATGCATCTTATTATTTGAACACTGCTGGCTAGTGTTAGGCATAGGAATGTTTCCTCAGTATTCAGTGGAAAAAAAAAGCAAAGAAATTCTATTCTGTTATACTCTCTATGGCCCCCCAATTTCCATGGATGTGAAGTCCTGTAAAACCACCGGTTAGATAAATGCAAGGGCAGAATAAGAAAGACAGATTTATAAATTCAGGATTCAGCGACTTCAGATCAACTTTTTGCAGGCAAAAAATGGGACTGATAATTCAACGGAATTGCATCAGAATAATTAGGATCAGAAAATGACTTATCAGGACACATCCTGTTCACTCTTTCTATGTCTGTTTGTACAGCTCTGTAGGAAAAATGGGACAGGAACTCTTCCTAATAGGTTACACAGAGATTCTCTCTCCACAAAGGAAGTGTGGGTGCCATTAAACTGATGTATCCATTCTGCCCAAGGGAGGTCTGCACTTGGTTAAAATCATTAGCAAGGGGTGGGTAGTGTGATAGGAATAGCTTTAAGAGAAGAAAACAAACAAACAAACAAACAACAACAAAATCCACAAATAAAATAAGAAATAATTTATGTGGATTACCTAGTCACGTTCCTGACATGTGGAACTGTGAGGTCTCTACCACCTTCTGCAGCCTCTGGCTGGGAACTGTACAGCTCAGGAAAAGAATCAATCATAGAGTTGCTTCAGAAGCCAAATGATGTGGTTGCTTCAAAAGCCTTTGCTGACTTGGAAAAATCAATTAATTCAATTCTTCATTGACCACTTTCTGAAGAAACAGAAAAATGTAACTTTCACCAGAAGACTTTAGGGAAGAGTCATGGGTGGCAAGTAGAATTACAGTTTCACAAATGCTCTAACTCTGCAATGAAGTAACGATGAAGGTTGATTTTCAACCTATTGGAACAGGGATTAGTTTCTTGAGTACACATAGCTAAGAGCAAACTGCATGCCTATTCTGCTCACAAAATCTAGGTGTTCCTTTGACAATAACAGTAATAAAAAGGCCACGAAAGAGCAGAGTTATAGAGAATACAATAACATAATGATTTCTCAGCAAAGACCATAAAGGTGCCACTACTTGAAGGGAAATTTTTGAGCCTGAAAAGTTACATCAGAATGATTCACTGGTCAAAAAGGATTACACTTTGGATCCAAGGCAATGGATCCAGCATAGCAATGAATGTAAGCATTAACTGCTGCTTCTTGTTTCTAGGGAGACGTGTAGGTAGACTTTGGGTTTTCAGTCATCTCTAGTTGGTGGTCTGTTCAAGATGGTGGCCACAAGTGTTGTGAAAGCTGTGTAGCTACAGTAAACTGAAAGTGCTGTTTGTCCTCAAATACTTACACAGCTTTGTGTTTGAATTTTGCAGCTACACAAAGCTCCATGTAGGTGAGTCTAGGCTATTGTTACC